TGTAAGGACGCTTTGTGTTCATTTGGGTCTTATTCTTGGTGTGGGTGGTCATATGCAAGAGCTTAGGAGGGTTAGGTCTGGGATTTTGGGTGAAAAAGATAACATGGTTACTATGCATGATGTATTGGATGCTATGTATATTCATGATAGCCATAAAGATGAGAGTTATTTGAGGAGGGTTATAATGCCTCTTGAAGTGGTTTTGACGAGCTACAAGAGGTTGGTTGTCAAGGACTCTGCTGTTAATGCCATTTGCTATGGTGCTAAGTTGATGATTCCGGGGTTGCTGAGGTTCGAGAATGATATCGAAGTTGGGGAGGAGGTTGTGCTTATGACTACCAAGGGGGAGGCGATTGCGTTGGGAATTGCGGAGATGACCACTGCTGTTATGGCCACTTGCGATCATGGGGTGGTGGCGAAGATCAAGAGGGTTGTCATGGATCGGGACACTTATCCGAGGAAGTGGGGTTTGGGTCCTAGGGCGTCGATGAAGAAGAAATTGATCGCGGATGGGAAATTGGATAAGCACGGCAAGCCTACTGGCAACACTCCTCAAGAGTGGCTTAGGAATTCGGTTTTGCCTGCCGGTGGGGATTCTATGGTTGCAAGTCTTGCGGCTGCTGCAGCTGAACCTGCTGTTGTGGAAAATAAAGATGCTGCTGAAGTGGGGAAGGAGAAGAAAAAGAGTAAAGCTACTGATGAAGAGGGCGGTGATGGACGCAAGCGCAAATCAGATGCAATTGAGGATGAGGCTGAGGATGCCGCCAAAGAGAGTAAGAAGAAAAAGAGGAAGAAGGATGAAGAAAACGGGCATGTTGATGATACTTTGGATGGGGACAAGGCCGAGAAGTCTGAGAAGAAGAAGAAGAAGAAGGAACACAAAGATAAAGAAGAAGCAGCTTCCCCTGAAACTGAAAAGTCGGAGAAAAAGAAGAAGAAGAAGGAACACAAAGATAAAGAAGAAGCAGCTTCCCCTGAAACTGAAAAGTCGGAGAAAAAGAAGAAGAAAAAGAAGGACAAAGAAGCTGAGGATGGCAGTGCTAAATCTTCCAAAGGTGCCGCTGACAGCGAGGCTGGTAAGAGTGAGAAGAAAAACCAAAAGAAAAAGAAGAATAAAGAGGAAGAAGAAGAATAGTTAGATGATCAGGAAAGTATTTGTATTTTTGGTTTTTAGTTTATGTCAAAACTTTTTTCTTTTGTTGTATTTGTTTCTGTTTTCATCTGAAATGGGATTTCATTCATCCTGTATTAGCTTTTTCCAAGCACTTCCTAAAGGGTCTAGCTTTGGCATCACAGTGTCCTTTGTATGGCAGCCTGGAAGGCTATTTTGTCTTGGTGATTAAGTTTTATTTGTTGTTAATCTTTTAGCTTAAAATATTCTCTTGTTTTCCAATCTTAAAAGTAATTATTCCCGTATATTCTTGCATGATCATCTGCTGCAAAATTTTTGGTTTCTGGATGTTTGCTTTCCTTAAATTCTGGAAAGGAAAAGACCGTACTTTCTGATTTGAGCAAATGAGCTTACGGCATAATCATCATTTCATGGAAGAGAAAACGCTTCTCAGTACTGAAGTTCCTTGGCTTTTTTTTTTATAAATATTATTATCTAGAGTTGTATCTATCTCTTGTCTGTCTTATGTGTTCATCAATAAAGTTTATTCATAAATAATATGTATTTAGTCCTTGCTCTGAACTTCACTTTATTCCTTTCTACTGCATTTTCACTTGTGACTTTCTTATTTTCATTAGCATGCGTGGGCGCCAAAGTTCTACAAGAAAACGACTTGCAAAGTAGCATGTATTTGTAGATTTGTAAATTGATAGTAATGTATTGGTGCAAAATATGTACTTTTTAAATATGCCGAACATTTAGCTTTGGACTATTAATTGATTGCAAAAGCTTATCCAAACAGAAGCAGATGCATGTTTTCTTTTTCTGTGAACCATGAAATTTCTGTTTTTATGTTTGTACCTAGTGATGAGATACTCATTCATCATGGATTTAGTCCATGGATCATTGGTTATTGGTGTTTGACTGGTTTTGCAGGTAAAGAAGAATGGAAATAAGTTGTTTATTCTGTTGGAAGTATCATCTGTAGTGTTGCACCTACAATCTTTCAATTACTTAACGTAAAGTATTATCCTAGAGTAATAGAATGTTATGAGCTTACCTGAGCGTTGCACCTACACACTGTCCAATCAAACAGAAGCTAATTTTTTAAGAAAAAATAAGAAACAAACATGAAGAAGAAGAAGAATAGATGAAAGGGCTAATATTCTGGGTTTAAGTTGTCAAACCTTGACTTTTCCTTTCTCTTGTTCTTTTCGACTGCAATGAGTTGTTTGCTTATTGGTTGTTACTTGTTATCTTTTCTTAAGATCATGTTTCTACACCACATTTTCCTCTGTAGTAGGGCACAAGAAACTCACCAATCCACCTGCACCAACTCGCCTACCGTAGTTGGTGACACGTCAAGTACCCGACAAAAGTCAGGCGGGCGGTTTGCATCCTTCTGAATTTTATCCCGTGTGGATGATGACCACTTCTTCTTACAAGGGTATGACACCTTATTTTAATTGCAAGTCTTTCTGTTAGGTTTCGCATGTGGTTTTAAAGTTTAAATGATTGCGGGGCAGTTTTAGTTTATTTTATTTTTTATTTCATTCATTATCTCATGTGATATCTCATACCTGGAAAAGAGCCATCCGCATGCTGCATTTTATTCATTAGCAGTTCATTATTGTCTGCTAAACCCTGTTTCTACAGTTTAAGGATTCCGGGGTTGCGGTGTCTCCCACAAGAGAAATTCAGTTTATTAACCAACTTTGCTCAGCCCCAGAGACAGATTCTTTTTAGGGTGCTCTTGTTTGAACTCTAACTTCACTGAACATAATGTATTATTGTTATTGTTGGCATTAATTTTTTACCATCTTTAAGGAGTACATATCCAAAGCCAACTTCATATAGACTTGAGCGTCATGGTATTATTTTTTTTTTAAGAGATGCATTAGTTACTTGTAAAGCTCATGCATTACTTACGTTCTTGAAACGATGGAATCAGATTTTTAATCTCAGAGGGTGATATTAGAAGTTTTAACATAATTTCTGTTGGTTGAAACGAAGACGGCCAAGGATGTTGCCTTTCATACAACCTAAATGTGGAATTCGTGGCACTGAAGTTCTCGAGTTGAACGAGGAACATTGTCTCATGTTGTATGATCACTAAAGTTCTCGAGTGGAATAAAGTTTTTTATTTTTATTTTTATTTATTTATTTATTTATTTATTTTTAGAACTGGAGTTGTGGATTTGAACTCAAGACCTCGACGTTAAAGAAAGAGAGTCCCTAATAAGAGGAATTTACTTGACTTTTTTTTAAGAGTGTCCCTAATAAGAGGAATTTACTTGACTGAGAAAAACCGTTGTCTTCTTCTAACTTGTTCCCAAATCCCATTTAATCCCTTTGTTTATTAATTCTATTTGGGACTTGGGATGGGCATTTTACCCGCGAGCGCGGATACTTATGAGTACATATCCCGAATAGAATGGATATGAAAGTTATTAAATATGAATAGGGACGGATATGGAAGTTTATATTATCCTTCGAATTAGAAGCGGGGCGGGGGTAGGGGTACTAGCCCCACCCTGTCCTTATCCTTTTATACATATCCATGTATTTTTAAACATATTTTTAATACAAATATATTATATATTATAATAGTACTTAAAAAATATGGGTTTTAAAAGAAATTAAAAGGATTTTACTATTTTACTATCTTACAAAACTCTAATAATTTTTAAATTTAAAAGATATTAATACTATGTATACTGAATTTTATATTTAATTTGTCGCAATATTATTTTTCATTGGATAAATGGGTAAATAGAGAAAGCATTCCTGATGGGAATTCTCCGACCCCAACCCCGAATACGCAAATATGAAGGCAGGTATGGGAAGCAAAGGTTAAAGTGGAGGCGGGGGTAGGATAAACATACCCGATCCCACTCCGATGCTCATTCCTATTTGGGACAATGTGAACACGCTGTATAAAGCAAACAATATTATTAACATTGATACTTTTTGAACTTTACGGTCATTGTCAGTTTACTCATTAACTTTAAAAACTCCTACTTTGTTCATGGACTTTAAATTGTTCCAACTTAACCATTTCTGTTATAATTTTTGTTAAAAACAAATTGAAAAAAAAAAAAAAGAGTAAGTGTGATCACGTGATTTTTATCTATTTATTTTTAATAGAAATTCAAAAAAAAAGATCACCTGACTGCATTACTCTCTTTTTTTTTATATGTTTTTAACACAAATCACAACAAAAAGGGTTAAATGTAAACAATTTAAAATTTAAAAAACAAAATGGAAACTTTTAAAATTCAAGAAATAAAATGAGAATGACCATAAAATTTAAAGAGCACCTTTGACTCCTTGATATTAATCTAAGCAAATATTTACTCACAATTTCATCCGCGCACTGAGTAAATCTCAAGGACAAAAGCAGTTACCTAAACTTAAAAAAAAAAAAATATATATATATATATATAATCGAGTCATTTTCAATAAGTTGTCTTCATATTGCCAAAACCATGGAAACCGCGAAGTAGCCCAACATCAATGTAAGTAATTAACTATCTGATCATTAAAGCTTCATTCATTTCACCAATTTGAGTTTTCAGTTTTACATTTCTACAGTTAAAAATTCTCAAAAAATGTCACATTTAACTTTTTTTGTTACAGTTAAAAGCTCTAAAAAATATCACATCTCAACTCAAATCCGCAAAACTAACGATGTGTAAGTTAACAGGAATCGGTCGTAGAGTACAAATAAGACCCCCAACAACGGTACATGTTTCTAAAGTTGATGGTAAGTGAAGGAAAACAAAAATCTTTTACTTGATTATCTTCTTGGTTTGTACATTGTTGTTTAATGTTATGCAAAGAATCATTCTTTGCAGGAATCCTGCTTGCTCATCCACACACACAAAAATGAAAACCGAGAAAACAAAATACTTAATTGAGCAGAAGTACAGAGATTTTATTAACTACTTTCATCTAGGATATTAGGTAGTAACTAGTAAGGTCAAAAATAAAATAAAATAAAATAAACCCGACTCTTCGAAACTATCTCTAAGAAAAAAGGGACAAAGAAAGCAAGGACCAGCAATAGTCTTACATCCTCCAGTGCACCTGTCATAGGTTTCACTTCTTGGATTTCTTCGATCCCCTGAAAGATAAGATAAATACATGCATAAGTAATGGTTTCTGAGTTTAATACTAAAACAACCCTGTTTCAAAAACATTTGGAGTATAATTACTGCGTAGGTTGAGATGCCGCAGTGAGAGGAGTAGCAGGTGTTGCTGCCGGTAGTTTTTCTCCGGGCCCCTGTAAACAAGTTAAGAAGATGAACAATGTCAAAGGCTTAAGAGTCCTAATTGTCAACGGTGACGTGACATAATGCAGTACCTCCAAAAAAAATGGAAAATTTTTGGATCGATAGGTGACTATGAATTGCGTTGGAGTTTTCACAAATGATGCGCCAATGTTTTTCGATGTTTAACGTTTCCATAAAGTCATTTCTTAATGGTAGTGCATAAAATGAATACCTGGGCCAGACGCTCCTCTCTCCTAGCAATTTTCCGCTCCCTGCTGGCCTTGTTCTTTGCCCTCTTAGCCTCAAACTGATCAGACAAAGTCTTCTCTCTTGCCTTCTCAGCCTTTGACTTGTGAATGCTCTCCATCAGCACACGTTTGTTCTTGAAAACATTACCTTTCACCTTCATGTACATGTCGTGGTACATGTGCCTGTCAATCTTCTTTGACTCCCTGTATTTGCGAAGCAAGCGCCTAAGAACTCGCATCCTCCTCATCCATAGGATTTTGGTGGGCAGCCTTGCCTCCCTTGTACCCTTACGCTTACCTAGAATAAAAGTTCATAAACATGCGTTCCTCGCTAACAATTCTCACAATAATAACAGCACCAATGCAACCAACCTAGACTATGTTTTACCTAGTAAATTAGTATCTTAGCTGAGCAATCGCAAGCCTGCTTGGCAGAATGAAAAAGGCCGTCTACCAAAAAGCAAACTCACAATTTACCAATTAAGTCCGAGCTTTCTTCTTCTTCTTCTTCTTCTCCTTCTTTTTTCCCTTTCATTCCTAATTACAAAATTTCTAAATCAAACTTCATCTGAGGATATTTAATGAGCTACCGCACATGTACTCAACGACAAACTGACAAATGCACTACACGATTCCTATATCACAACGTAAAAGTGAAGTACTAATTTCACTACCTTAAACTCAAGCCCCAAGGTTTTAACTTCTCATAAACAACATAAACATAAATTACCATATCCAGAGTGACGTCCCTTCCTCTTGGCCTCCTTCATGCGCCGGGCACGGGAACGAGAGTGAATCTTAGTCGGCTTCCGAATAATGAAACCATCCTTAACCAACTTTCTAATGTTTTGCCCTGCACACACACACAGCAGTAACAGAAATCAATACTTTTTCCACGCCAATATTTGAAAATCACCGCTTTCAAAACACGAACCAAACGGGTAATCTTCTTATCTTTTATTCCTTTTTGTTTTGCTAAATTAAATCAACATCAAAAAACCACGCTCAAAAAGAAAGCTTTCTGAAATCGCCTTTTAATTTATCCAAACATAACTTCTTCAAGACAAGTAACAAACTCTAAGAACTGTACAGAATATTACAGCAAAATATGCATACATAATCAAGCAGGAATTTTTATAGAAACCCAAATGGAAAGTATCAGTCAGAGATGAACCCTAGCTCCGAGAACTATCAGAAATAGATCACAAAGCAATGTTTAGATACAGAAAAAATACCAAAAAATTAGCATAGAACTACGAAAAGCTCATCAGGAAGTTAAACTCTAGAGTCCTAAATTGAATCGTTTGCATGAATTCTAGTAAAGGAAAAGGTTGAGAAATGGAAGATAATGAACGTACGAGAGTTGGCCATGGAGATCTCATTGACTTCATTGGGATCGAGCCAGACCTTGCCTCGCCCACACTTGAGAACGCTCGCGGAGAGCCGCTTCTATAGCTTCAGTGAAACCATCTCTACCTCTCGTCTCGTCTCTCAGACTCCTCCTGCTATAGCCTATAGGCCTAGAGCAAAGATTTTTATAATTGGAATTTAAAATTCGAGTTTTATTATAGTAAAAATTTTTAAAAATAATCACATTTAATTTTTTTATTATAATAAAATTTTTTTACATAAAATTATATCTAAATTTAAATTAAAATTTTAAATCAGTAAACTAAATGAATTTTAAGTTCGTCCTCCCCTCAAAATCGCCTTTATCTTAAATTTAAAATATTTTCCACTTTAGTCCCTATCCCTAATTCGTGACTTAGAGAGTGTTTAGTATGAGGATTTGTGTCACAGTTCGAAGCTTGTTATAATATTTTTTCTCATAAAAAATACACATAAATTAAAAATAATTCTGAATTATTATTTTAAATCTGTGAACGAAACGTCCACTTAAAACACGAAGATCATGTTTATAACTGGAGTATCGTGAGATTATTCTGTGGCAAATTTTGTACTGAAATCCAAATGGAGATCCAATTTGAAACCACTAGGCCTCGTTTATTTCGCCGATTCGAATTTAGAATTTGAGTTTTGTTACAGTAAAAAGCTCTCAGAAACAGTCACATCTAACTTTTTTGCTACAGTAAAAAGCTCTCACACAAAATCACATCTCAACTCGAATTACAAACTCAAATCAGCGAAGTGAACGGGCCCTATAAATACTTCCGCACTTGTACCCCAATGGCATATTTTCTCCGTCATTTTGACAAATCACTGACCAAAATGGTATATTGGCTTAAAAGGACAAAAATATCAATATTCTATTCTAAGTAAAGATAAAATATTTCACCATTTGTGAAATAAGGGATTTTTGAAAATAAAAGCGGTAAAATTGAAAGCATGCATAATCTTAATGAAATTAGATCAATAGTGGTTCTTCCTGATTAATAGATATTGAAAGGCAATAACACCCTTTACGGTATGTTCGGTAGAAGAGATATATGGGTGAAAGGATGAATAGAATATGAGGGAAGGGGAATGAGAAAAAATGAATGAATTACAATTTTTTTTAAAGTTGTTTGGTATAATTAATCCTCCTTATTTAGTATTGAAAAGAAAAGAAGGGAGGATTAGTTTGATTCCTAAAATTACTATATTGTTCATATAAAATAAATTGATTTGTATACTCAATTTTCTACAAATAATTTTTTTAATATATAAGTTGTTTTAAACTTTTTTAAGAAAATTTTGCGTATAGGAACATTTTTTTTTACAGAAAAATAGAAGAATACATAGACACACGCATAAAGGATTTTGTAGTAAAAAAGAATAAATTGGAAAATTAAAAGTAATTATTATCATTCAAAAAATGTGAAAAAATAATAAATTAATGGACACAAAATGTATTCACCACAGTAAAATGGAGTAAGAAACATTAAAATAAAATTAAAAGAGAGAGAATTAGTTAATTTAGAAAAACAAAATGAAGGTAAAAATGTAATTAGCAATTATTTTTGCTTCCATTCCATCACTTTCCGATTAAGGGTCCCTTTGAATTAACTCAAAAAACACACTTTTAGCTTATTTGGTCCAAAAGTTATTTTTGACACTGTTTGGATGGACAATAAAAAAATGCTTTTGACTTTTATAAACTCTTTTGGGATAAGTCACCTCTTCAATGCTTATGGAAAAGAGTTTATGAAAAGTTTTTTTATTTATCCTTTTTAACATTTTATTTGAATAATAAATTAAAAATTTCATCTATATCTTTTTATTACACTAATTTTTTGTAACAATAAGAACTTTTGACTTATTTACTAAAGACGTTCAAAAGCTCTTCTGAAATAAAATAAAATAAAATTAACTCAAAAAACACACTTTTAGCTTATTTGGTCCAAAAGTTATTTTTGAGACTGTTTGGATGGACAATAAAAAAATGCTTTTGACTTTTATAAACTCTTTTGGGATAAGTCACCTCTTCAATGCTTATAGAAAAGAGTTTATGAAAAGTTTTTTTATTTATCCTTTTTAACATTTTATTTGAATAATAAATTAAAAATTTCATCTATATCTTTTTATTACACTAATTTTTTGTAACAATAAGAACTTTTGACTTATTTACTAAAGACGTTCAAAAGCTCTTCTGAAATAAAATAAAATAAAATAAAAAACTTTCTTTCATACACTATCTATTATGCTTCTTTTATTCTATTACTTAAAAGTAAAAATATAAACTCTCCTAAACATGCACTAAATATGGGAGGATTAGTTTTTGATGGGACCATTTGAAATCCCTCCTCAATCCTTCTCTTGGGCCAATCCCCTCGCGCCAAATAAGCAAATGACCTAATCTCTTCCTTACTTTCCCTCGTATCCTTTTTTTTTTTTCCTCCAATCATTCGTACCAAACACAATCTTAAAGTCCGTTTAAAATGCATATTTAAATCATCTTTAGATGAATTATCATTTTTCACGTTTGGTTGTTAGGGAATTGTTGCATGTTTCTCGTCTATAGTTTGTAAAAAAAAAAAAAAAAAGTTTTGTCTTTCGGAAACAAGTTAATTTTTATCTTACAACATCGTGATACATTTGAATAATAGAGGCTTCATTGGAGAATTTCTCAAGAAAGAAGAAAGACACTTAGAGAAAAAGACGTAACACTTTATTTAATACTAGTTTTGTAACATGTTCCGTATGTATTGTTATGTTGAAAATACTTAAAGAATTTATTATTTATTGAATAATGAGAAATTCATTTATACAACCATTTAAGGATTTTTGAATTTATTTTAATTAGAAATATGTGTAAGATAACAATTGACGAAAAAAATTAAGTACGGACAAATTTGAAAAAAATTATTTTAACCAGTCAAAAATAAAATAAGAACACATGCGAAAATTACTCTTATAGGAATAAAGTGAGGAACAACATACTTTTAAAAAACACAAAAATTAAAATGTAAAAAAAAAATCACAAAAAAGTAAAGATAAAAAAGAAAAAAAAAAACTAAGTGGAGGGCTGCCACAAACAAGAGGTTTGGCTGTTTTCTGTATTGTTAGACGAAGCAAAAAGGGAAAATATAAGGGATAAAATTGAAAAACCAATAACATCATTTTAAATAATCGGAAAGCCACATAGATGGAAAAAAAAAGTGGGGAAAAGGAAACAAATACCACTTAAAGTGCATAAGTTTAAATTTTTATTTCTTAATATTGATTAATACATTTTTAAGTTAAATAACTATATTAGTCAAAAAATGTATTAATTAAGAGTAAAAGGTAAAAATTAATATTCTTGAACTCTAAGAGTAAATTGAGTAATTTTCTCAAAAAGGTTTAAGAAAAATTTTGTGCGTCAGGCACCCAACACAAATTTCTCATGATTTAATTAAATATTACTTTTATAAATGCCTCTCAAAGTGTGAACCGTTTTTCAAAACCGTTCAAAACATCAAACTGTTTAAAATGCTCCTCCATCCACTTTCTTCTATAAGTCTAATGAATTTCCTAATATGACATTTGTTGGTTTTCGAAACGATTTTAGATGTGAAAGCATGTGATTGTGGATCGTATATAACAAAAATTTTCATAAAATTTTAAAATACTTTATAGATTACATTAATTTATACACGAATAAATTAATCAAATTAATTTATTTACCTAGCGACCGATTATGACGATAACTTGAATTCTTTGACCTCGAACGTTCCTCGCTCCAAGCTAGTTTAGCACTTGAATTTTCCTTGTCAATTCCTTGAATCTACGAAGACGTGTGTGTGAACACACCTGAAACAAAACGGGATTAGCGAATAAACACTCAAGGTTTCTAATAACACCAACACATGCACGACGTGAAATTTTTAGAGAAAAATTTTCTTTTCCTCACTCTATAAAATTCGGCCACTATAGCTAGGAGAGAGCAAAAATTGTCTCTCCTAATTTTCTACAATATCTTATTTTATAGAGTAGTAGTCAGACTCCCAGAAGAAGTCTAATCTTTATCTCCAATATAAAGTACTTCTCTCTTATCTTAATTTGCCGACCACCACAGGGAAATTCCTCCCTGTAGTAGGCGCAATTTTGTAGATAAAGAATAGGACAAAATTTTATCCTGTAGTCCAATTTTAACTTAATTCAAATTCCAATTTAAGTCAAACTTAAATCAATTTGAATTTTAAATTGGACAACTTATCAAATAAGTTAATTGGATAACTTTGAAGAGCAAGCAGTTTGAATCCCAAAGGGATTCACATTGTGTTGTGATCACACTATGTGAACACCTTCACATGTGTGTTTCAAAATTTAAATTTAAATAATCACATTATTTAATTTATAATTAATTCTCAATTAATCAGCATTGAGTGTTTTATTTTAGAATTCAATAATTCCAAAATTTCCATTTGACCTTTAATGTCTTGTAAAATTATAAGAACGACGCGGGACTCATGGACCTTTAATTTCAAGCTCTAATAAAATTAATAATTAATTAAATACTTTAATTAATTAATTATTTAATTATATTAATTTCAATAGTTACTCCACTATAAACTTGAAATTGTACTCTCATAATTATAGATATAAATTACTTTTAAACTGTAAAGTATTCATTTGATATAGTCATTGTATATAAATTAATCTTCCATAAATAATTCATAATTAGAACAAAGTGAAATCCGTTAACTTCTCTAATTACATCTTTATCATTGAGTACTATTAATTCTCTAATGAATAATAATTCATAAAATAAATTCATGAATTAGAGCTCTTATTAGTCTAACTATTTGAATCAACTTTCAAAGGAATTGTTTTTTGTTTTTGTGTCTGGTTTCAAAACTTTTATTAAACAAATACGAATTACAAACTGTTTTTATTTTTGTGTCTAAAAAAACGTGTGAAAACTATTTCGAAAACAATTCTAAACGCACAAAGGAGTATCAATGTAAAAACCCTAAAAAATTCAACTATAAATCCTAACATTTTCTCCCGAATAACGGATAGTACAAAAATGGGGGGCAGGAAAATGGAGGTAGAGAAGCCGTCAAAACCCTCTCTGAAAAACCCTAGCAAGAAGAGAAAACTTCCTCTTGGCCCCATCAAAACCGACGAAGCTAAGAAGAGGTCCAAGACGACGAAGAAGAAGAAGCAACGGCTTATCGAGACCAACGACAATAAAAACGACAACGATGACCGAGTCGAAGAGCAAAATGACAATGGCGAAAGCGGTAACAACGAAGTCGTTCAAACGTCGGCTTCGACGCAGCTTCGGGTCTTTCTGGATCAGTTCCAGTCCGGGAATGGCATCCAGCTTTCTTCTCTCGAGTTGGAAGCTATTAAAGGTATCTTCGTTTTCATTTCTCTACTTCGGTTTTAGGGTTTTGTATATTTTTTTTAATTATTATTTTTTGGTGATTATGGTAGAAGTATTGGGGATGGAAGAAAATTGAATTTTTTTCTTCTTTTTTTTTTTTCGCAAACAACTTTGTGAGATTGGTTATCTTTGCTCCGAATTCTCATGAACCTAATATTTTTCTATGTACCCAATGCGGAGAAAAGTAAAAGAAGAAGATAGGAAAAAATTAGTATTAATTGCATAATACTGAATAAAGGTTTTGGTGAACGACAGTGTTGTAAAGGTGGTAAATAAGAATCAGAAATTAACGATGAAGTGATTAGTTCCTGTGTCCCAATGTTTTGGGTTTTTTTTTTTTTTTTCCCCCTACCTTCCTTATAATCAGTGGAAGAGTTGTTTTGTTTTTTTGTTTTTTTTTTTCCAGGGATGGCACTATTAAAATTAGAGCTATTTCTTAATGTATGGATAACATAGTTAACCTATTTCAATTATAATTTTCAGATAAAATGTGAACACAACAATTTTTTCTTTTTTTTAAGTTTGAGAATAAAAGATTTTGAAATTTGAGCAGGTGCACATGCCTCCATTTACTACCATGTGTCTCCGCCACTGCTTTTAATGCCATTGTTTGAAGCTATCGGTCAAAGACCTACAGTTCCTATTATATGTTGCTTTTAAAAAAAAAAAAAATTGTTCATACTTCTAGTGCTCATCATTCTTCAAGAAATTTTCAAAAAAAAAAAAAAAAAAAAAACATTGAGAATAAATAGACTTATATAATTACGCTTGTGATTTGTAAATTGTGCAGATACGTGCATTTTGGAGCTATCTCAATGCACAGATGAGGACGCAAAGTCCTTGGGAAAAGATATGAAAGTCGCTTTTGGCCCATCATGGAAAGAAGTTCTTTGTGAGAAGCAGTTGTTGGAAGGAAAAGTTGATCCGGGTTGTCCTGCAATCCTTATTATTAGTTCATCTGCTATGAGATCAATAGAACTTCTAAGGTGAGTGCATTTTCGACAAGTTACATATTTTCGTTTTCTGGTGCTCATACATTCGTATTCCTACCAATAAGAATGTGTCGTCTCTTCTGGCCATTATTGATAAGAAATGATTTTTTTCCCAATTTTATCTAGGGGTTTACAATCATTGACTAAAGAATGCCCTGCAGTGAAGCTATTCTCAAAGCATATGAAGGTTGAAGATCAGGTAGTTGCTCTCTTTCTTAATTCCCAATTTCAATGCTAACCTATCAGAACAAAGTCTTGTAACTCTTTTTTATTTGTTTGAGTGGGGTGGGATTTAATGTATAAGATGTTTGAAGGGTAAGGTGAATTCTGTGTGAGATATAGGTGATCAGGATGTGCAATATTTGAATGCCTAGCAGGGGGAGGACGAATTTTTGAAATAAAAGTTTGAACACTTGGTGGTTTGTCATCTGTTATGAAGAAACTTGCCAAAAAAAAAGAAAAGAAAAGAAAAAAATCTAAAGGACAAGGGAACTGCTTGCTAAGGATTTTAGGATCCAAGCAAATTATTTGAGTATATATTTACATGCAGAGTGCAGTTCAATTTTTTGAACTCTATCAAGCTTTAAACAAGATTCTTTGAGAGTAACTCCCTAAATTAAATTTGACTAGCCAAATGTTGGGAGCTAATTTTGGACCTCGATTATGGTGGTTATGTTTTATATATAGTGGGGTAATCTGTAATCTATATTTTAGGTTTTCTTTCTATAAATAAATATGCTTTTGAAGTTAAGTTTCTAAGTTAATTAGCATTAGTTCATCATTGATGCTTTTGAGATTGAGAGGTTAAGAACATATCTTTCAACCACTTATTTTTATATTTTGGACTCAGTGTCATTTTAGTTTTCATTTTTTAACCTCCTATAATAGTTACTCATATCATGAACCTGGGAGATGATGACACTATCTATTATCAGAGCTTCAACGATGTTGAACTGATTATTTGCACGTCAGTCTGATCCCAAACGTTCAAGATATCAAATTCTTATCAAGGTTTTCTCAAGTGTCTTTTTGGTTTATGCAAAATTTTGAGTGGCATTGGCTCAATTTTAATCTTCTTTTTTTTTTTTTTTTTTTTTCACTCTGGAATTTGTGAGATGATGACTCTATTCCAACTTAAGCATCGGCGATGCTGAATTTGACATTTGCACGTCAGTCTGATCTCAAAATCTCATGAGACGAATTTTTATTGTAGGTTTTTCTCCCTCCAGTGCCTTTTTTGGTTTATACAGAATATTGAGTCCATGAAAATTGTCTGTATTTTTACTTTTTTATTTCTTGCTTACTAGGGACTTTGGTAGATGATGACATGATACAAACATTATCAAAGTATCAGCGATGATGAATTGTATATTTGCACGTCAGTCTGATCCCAAAATTTTATTAGATGAAGTTTCTATGTTGGTTTCTTTTTCTGAGTGTCTTTTTTGGTTTATGAAAACTGATGAGCCCATGAATGCCATCTCACTTTTCATTTTGGCCTTTGTTACTATGCAATTTAGGAGATGATGATTCTATACAAACTTTATCTAAGCATCAGCAATGCTGACTATTTGCACGTCAGTCTGATCCCAAACTTTCACGAGATGGAACTTTTATTATTGGTTTTCTTCTGGGGTTCTTTTGCTTTATGCATATTGAGCCCATGGTTGTCTCAGTTTTTGCCTCAGCGTTGTTTTGTAAGATTGATTTTGGCAAAATGACGACAACTATACAATCTTATCATCAAAGTACCAGTGATGTTGAATTGTATATTTGTATAGTCTTCAGCTCGGGATGTTGCCCGAATTTAAGTTCAATATTTAATCCAGAGCAAAAGAGAAAAAAAAAAAAAAAAAGTTCAATATCTAATGTTTCTATGAGATTTTTTTATATGCCTTATTTAGTAGTCCCTTCAATTCACTTTTAACATGTTTCCTACAATCACGCGAGATATTTGGCCTTCATGTCTGTTCTAGTTTTGGTGCTGGACTTTCTTGTATGTAATACTTCTCCTTTGCCTTTTATGCAGGTATCTTTGTTAAAGAACCGTGTCAATATTGCTAGTGGTACACCAAGCAGGTTAATCATCATAGTTTTCTTTGGGGAGCTGTATATATATTTTTTCTTACGTTTTATTTTTCTTACCGTACAGTATAAGGGTGTGCCTGAATTAATTGCGCATGGCAAGCTTGCATTAGGATGATTAGAATATTTATTCATTCTCTTAGACAATTTATAGGGTCGCTCCAATTCTTACTATGGACAAGTAGGGCATAACCTCTTTTTTCTTTTTCTTTTCTTTTTTTGTAAAACTGTTGTTTCATATACATAAATGAATAAAACTATAACCAGGCATGCTAGTATTTGATAAACTTTTGGTTCTCTGCAGTGTTATTACTGCCAGCTATGGCAGTGATCAATGATTCATAAGAACTCTAGTTTCATCGGCTGATTTCATTGTTTCTGCATTATGTTCGTTTAAGTGCAATGTTAGAGTTCCGTGTGACCTGACGTTTGATCAACTTTTTTTCCATTAAATAACTCAGTTTTCTGGTTTTCTAATATCAATTCCAGGATAAAGAAGCTAATTGACATTGAGGCATTGGGGCTCTCGCGGTTAGCAGCAATCGTACTTGATGTTCGGCCTGATGTAAAGGGCTATTCTTTGTTTACACTACCACAAGTCAGGTTTGATCACGAGATGCTCACCGTTTTCATAAAATCATGTCTAGTTTTGCTCGATATTTTCTACAATCAGAACCCTCCCTTTTCCCAAACAATAAAAAACAAAATATATATATCAAGTTTGTCCAGAAAAGCTAAGTCGCAGTTTTATTCTAGCCTTGAACTAATTATCATGTTTTACTTGAAAGAATCTTATTTGATTTATAACTCACTAGATACACAACGACCCTATGTTAACAATTGCAGAAAGTCTTCTATTATCTCCTGGTCAGAAAACTCCCTGAATTTGATGTTAATATTATGCACTATTCAAATGTATTTTATTTGGCAGGGATGAATTCTGGGACTTGTACAAGAACTGTTTCCATCAGCGTATAGCGGAAGGTTCCCTGCGTCTCGGCCTATATGGTCAATTACCAAATGGGACCGAGTTGAAGGGGAAAAAGAGGAAACATTGATTGAGTTCTGTTATTGTCTAAAAATATAGACTATGAGCCTGATCATGCTAAGCCTGTATTTGTTTGTCTTTTTGTTTTTGTTTTTGTTTTTTTGTTTTTTGTTCTTTTTTTTTTTTTTTTTTTTCCTTTTTGGTTAGGAACAATGCCTGTATTTTTAGGTTATACCTTTCCTCCTTTTTTTGGTCCATTATTGTCTTCTTTTCTGTTTTGGTGGTTAATGATATGGGTTTGAGACGTGCACTAGAAAGGTCATATTTCACGTGAAGTAGATAATGTCTGTAATTACGCTCCCATTTAGGTTTTTAGTTTGAATTTTGTTGATTTGAACTTTTTTATTTAAACAAACAAATTTGAACGTGTGAATTAAATTGTAGTTTGAAATAGCTAAACTAATTGTTATCATTTGCATTTTGCATTCCTTTATATTGTCGACTAACTATGACTTCAAATATCATTTAATTTGTTCCCTCATTTTGAGGTCATTTTGTAGATAATAATTTGTTTCTTTTTAACTATTCATAGTTCAACCTTACTCGGAAGTAGTGCTGGAACTTTGGACGGGCTGTCCGCGACCGCCCGAAAAGTCTGAGTTTTTACCCGAGCCCGAGCCGCCTGAGAAATTTGGGCTGCCCGCCCGAGCCCGAATTTCACCTTGAACGGGCCGCGGGCTTGTATTAGGCGGCCCGAGCCTGGCCGGGCGGCCTGAGCCCGCCCGAATTGCCCGAATTATTTAAACTTTTTTTTTAATATTAAGTTATTTTGTGTTAAAATTTATATATTTACTTTGGTATGCAAGTAGAAAGTTACTTTGATATAGAGTCACAAAGAGAGTGAAGAAAGTTGAAGAAAAAAGAGGATAATTAAGAGGATGAGGAGAGATTGTGAACAGAAAAATAGATAAAGATAGAAAGAAGAGTGATATAGAATAGAAAAACACGAGTATCTATAAGAACAAAACCGGCATTATATAGAAATAGCACTTTTTAAAAATAAAAAACAATAAAAACGTGATGGCAATGTGTTTCTTTCCTTGTGTATATTGTTTTTTGAGGAATCATTTTATCATGTGATTGATTATAAAAAAGGGTCAAGAATGTGAAAACTGAAATATTAAACTACTAAAATAGGAATTTGCTCTTTCTATTAAGGAATTGTCTGTTTACCTTAATTAAAAAGTTAACAATTTAAATAACAAATATGGGCATTGGGTCTAGTGGTATGATTCTTCGTTTTGGGTGTGAGAGGTCCCGAGTTCGATTCTCAGAATGCCCCAATTTGTAGCAACTAAAATTTTCGGGCGGTTTTGGGCAAATCGGGCAACTCGAGCTTATTTTCGGGTCGGGCGGGTCGGGCATGGTCGGAAAATTTAAAAAAATTCCGGCGGACGGCGGTATAGGACGGTTAGACGGCGGCGGGCAAGAGAATTTGTGTCAAATTCGGGCTGCCCGAACCCGAACCCGAAAATCTAGCTTGGGCGGGCGGGAGATGGGCTTGCCCGCCCGAGCCCGAAAAAATTCGGGCTTCGGGCAGCCCGCCGACCCGAACTTCCAACACTGCTCGGAAGCAACCACATACTAACGAGTTTAAGGGGATGTTTGGTTGGAGGATTCAAATTATGATTTAAATTATAATTCATGATTTGTTACAGTATTTTCTCTCACAAAAAATACACGTAAATCAAAAATAATTCTAATTACATGATTCTAATCCATGAATTAAACGTCTCCTAAAATAAGTAAACACTATACCCCCTTTGTTTCACTGATATAACTCAATTCAACTTAATTATAACTAAATTCAACTTAATTTAAACAACAAGAACAATTTAACCTCACTTTCATAAACACGCAGTCTAAATTATATTCTCCGCTTAAATTAAGTTAAACTGTCTAACTAAGAGTTTAATTCTCTTTCAAGTTCAATTGTTCAAATCATTAAATAATAAAAATGTACTCACTCTGCTTTTTACATCTATCAAATATAAATTTAAAATTTTCCTATTCAAATTAAAATTTTAACTGCACTTAAATTGTAGTTTGAATTAGTATTTGAATGTGGTGTGAAAAAATATAAAAACGTTTTCAAAACGGCGTTTGGCGCAATAAAGACAAAGGAAATGAAAACGATTTTTTAGTTTAGTGTAAAATGAGAGAAATAAAAAACGACTTTTAGTGGTTTTTCATTTTTCATTTTTGTTTTCTCCTTTCTCGTGCAGAGAGAGAGAGGTATTAATGAGTTTGTTTTATATTGAAAATAATCTCTTGATAAAACTACCAAACACATTTTTAAAAATGATTTTTATTTGAGATTGAAAACGTTTTTATTTTTATTTTTATACAAAAAATAAAATTATTTTAAAACGAATTCTAAACACACTCTTAATGTCTTTATACTTACTCTTGGAACGTTGAAACGTGCTACTTTTTGACATATTAGCACATGTGACCTAGGTGAGATGGTCAAATCTGTCAATTTCTTTAAACCCTATAATCCAATAGAATTCGAGTCTAGTTCTCCACTTTTTCCCTCTCGTTTTCTTGCTTTTGAGCAACTACTTTAAGGAGAAAATATATATATAATTTAGCTCCTCATTTATCTTTTTACAGTGAAAGGCATCTATTAACCCTTAAATGTTGCTTCTTAACTTAAATCAAGTGATAACTAAATATTTTTTAAAGTTCAGGGCATATTGACCAATGATATAATTTAAGAAGAATTTATAAAATTTATCCACATAAAATGATAAATGTTTTTTTTTTCTCCACTTCATGTGGTATGTCTCCATTTCTCGAGGCCTTTGTAAAAATGAACTAATAAAAAAGTTTATCAACAAAATGACATTTCAAAAAATTTTATTTGCAAAATGATTTCTGAAAAAAAAAAAAAAATATGAATTTTAGATAAAAGCTAATGGAATTTAATAGGTTGATCTGACTGATTTAAATTTTTGATCCAAAAAAGAAAAAAAAAAGAAAGAAAAAGCAAAATCCTCTCCTTAATTCACATACGAAACCGAGCCCCTTCCCCTCTCCTTCACTTGATCAGGTTTGTACAAAATTTCTTCACATTCATTCCTGCTCCTTCAAGGAGAATTATCTTTCTAGAAGAATCTCGATATTTTCCTAGAACTTTCTCGTTTCGTCATTTTTTTCAGGGGAGTGAGATAAAATTAGGTGCAACCCAACTCATTTATCGCCATTGATCTCATTCCAGGGCGCTCTTTTTGTCATTGGATCCAGCACTGTGGGGTAATGCACCAGAAGTGTGCACTACCTTAGATTTTCCCATACATAATAAAGGGGTTAAGGAATAAGGTACATAAGAAAATAAATAATTATTATAGTTGTTACAGGTCCGTTTAGTTCACTGATTTAAATTTTTAATTTGAGTTGAGATGAGATTTTATGTGAGAGCTTTTTACTGTAGTCAAAAAGTTAGATATGACTGCTTTTAAGAACTTTTTACTGCAGCAAAACTCGAATTGGTGAAATAAAAGTAGCCTACATTACTCTCACTTACTTTCTTGGAGTCAAAAGTTACTTCTCATAAACATGGCATTCATTTATCTCAACTTCGTTACGTTACAAATCTTCTTACTCATACACGCATGTCGGATGCCAAACCTGTCACCACTCCACTTGCCACAACTCTCACACTTGACTCCCACTTCGGCACTGCGCTCTTCGATTCCTCTGAGTGTAAGTCTATTATTGGGAGTCTTCAGTATCACTCACTTACAAGACCAGACATTCTAAATCACGAATAAGCTCTCTCAGTACATCCACTGTCCCACAAGTGAACACTAGAATGCAGTCAAACGCCTCCTACACTATTTGTGTGGGACACCTGATCATGACATCCTTCTTCATCGCCACTCTCCTCTATCACTTCATGCTTTCTCATATGCCAACTTGGCAAGTAACAAGGATGTTTCTATGCTACTAGTGCCTATCTAGTTTACGTTGGTTGCAATCCTATATCATGGAGTTCTAAGAAACAACACACTATTGCTCGCTCCTCTACTGAGGGGGAATATTAGTCAGTTGCTGTTACTGCTATCGAATTGTGCTAGATATGTTCTCTTCTAACGGAACGAGGTGTTTATCTGCCTCAACAAGTGGTGATCTATTATGACAATGTTGGTGCAACCCATCTATGCTCTAATCCTGTCTTTCATTATCACATGAAACATGTAGATTTAGATTATCACTTCATTCGCGAACAAATTCGAAGTGGTGCTCTTCAAGTCTCTTCTCACGATCAACTTGCAGAGATGTTCTCACTAAACCTCTCCCTCACGCACGATTTCTTCATATACATGCCAAGATTAGACTCTCCTCCTAGAGCTCCATCTTACAGGGACATATAGGAGAAAATAAATAATTATTATAGTTTGTTATATTTAATTTTGAAATTCGTAAATATCTAGAGTTTTAGATTTTGAGTTTCCTTATAATTATCTAATAAGTTTCTCATTTAATTACTTTCCCTTTTTTAATTATTGAATTATTTGAATTGTAAATTACCTAGAATATGATTTCTTGTAACTTTATATATATTCAGTCAAATCAATGGAAAAGTCCATGCCATAATTTTTTCAAATTATCTCTCATATCTTGGACCCTAAAAAAATAAAGAGGTTAAGGATACAATTTTATTTTATCTATCTATACAGTAGTTTCGACCAAGAGCGTTTTGATTGAAATGCTCGTTTTGATCCTTTGATCCTCTAAAATGTGATATATATATATTATATATATATATTTCACTTCCATCTTTTCTGTTTCTTTTTAATTTTCTTCTCTAAAAGTTGTTATATTTTTCATTCTTGCCTTTCTTTTTAATTTTTTCTCCCTCTCATTTACCCGATTAAAATATTTCTTTTTAAATGTAATCCTACTTAGATATTCGTTTCAATAGTGCTTCAAAATATTGTAATACTAAAAGTTATTCTTAAAATTTTTTATTTCTAATTGTGCCATTAAAAACATTTCTACAAATACGACCCTCTAAAATTTTATATTCTTCGTAACTTTTTTAGAAGTCTCAAAAGGGGTACTACAGAAAATTCAACCAAACGAGCATTTTGGTTGAAACGTTCTTTTTGGTCCCCCACTTCTTTTTTTACCCTAAAATGTTATATTTTTCATTTTGGGGTTTTACATTTATTTTTTTTTGTTTTCCTTCTTTTCTTTTTCCTTTTACTTTTCTTCCCCAAAAGTTTTAATTTTTCATTTTTGTCCTTATTTTTAACTTTTTTTTTCCTCTCCTTTACTCCGATTAAGATTTTTTTTTCCAAATGTAATCCTACTTATTTCTTTCTAGTAGGACTCTAAAATAT